CGTCACCGGTACCGCTGGGGAGGGGGCCCCGGGACCACTCCCCCACCCCCCGCCCCGGCCTGACGATCGCGGCGTCGGGGCCTGTGCGGCCTTTGGGGGGTGGTGGTGGGGTATGGGGAGGCCTGGAAGGCACCGTGCGGCTGGAGGGACATTGAGGTTCCTGGAGGGGCAACGGGGCACTGAGGGGTTGGGGGGCACTGTGGGGGGAGCCAGGGGGTTCCCCGAGGTTTATGGGGGGGACTGTGAGTGCTTTGGGGTGTGCTGAGGGGTGGGGTGGGAGCGCTGCGGGAGTGTTGAAGGCCCTGGGGATGCTTTGAGATTTGTATGTGGGTTGTGGGGCACTGGGGGGAGTCGGGGTGGGGAACCAGGACACTTAAGGTTTGTTGGAGTGCTGTGGGGCATTGAGGGAGTTAGGGGTGTCTTGGGTTTCTTTGCAGGGTGCTGTGGGGCATTGGAGACTTATGGAGGTTCATGGAGGTGCTGTGGGGCACTGGGGTTGCAGTGAGGTTTTTGGGGGTGCAGTGAGGTGTCTCAATTTGGGACAGGCTTGAGGTTTCTGGGAGCATAGTGGAGTTCCTGAGAGGGTTACAGAGCAGCAGAGGGTTGGGGTGCTGCGGGGAGAGGTTCTGTCTCTGTGTCTTGCTTTATTATGAGGTGTTTTGGGGTGTTGCAGTGTACTCTGGAGAGGGGATATGGTGGAACGGGCCTCTGGGAATGGGGTTCCCTGAGGAAAGACAAGAAGTTGGAGCTCAGGGAAGGTGGTTCCTGAGGAGGCCAGATGTTGTGGGAGGAAGATCCTGGGGTTTCAGGGTGTCACAGGGAGGCTGGTGTTTGGTGTGGGGCTGCAGGCCAGCCTCCCCAGGATGGTCAGGCTCCTGCAGGTCGTTCAGTGAGAGCACCCCAAGGCACCACCTTGTCACTTCTTTGTGTCTCACCAGTGACTTCTCCTCTCTATTTTCCAGGGCATTTCACCTCGGCAGAGGATTTGAACCTGCTGATTGCCAAAAACACGCGACTGGAGATCTATGTGGTCACAGCAGAGGGGCTGCGGCCCGTCAAGGAGGTGGGGATGTACGGCAAGACCGCTGTCATGGAGCTCTTCCGCCCCAAGGTGGGTGCTCTGCAGGGAGGGGGCCACTTCCCAGCTTCAGGGAGGGGACAGGAGTGAACATGCTGGGGCTGCTGCCTCTGACACCCTCCTGAAGACTCTCTGCTGCTCTGCTTTGGCAGGGGGAGAGCAAGGATTTATTGTTCATCCTGACAGCCAAGTATAACGCCTGCATCCTTGAGTACAAGCAGAACGGGGACAGCATTGATATTATAACCCGGGCCCATGGCAACGTGCAGGTGAGTGAAGCTGCAGCACCTGAAACAGGGAATTCCCTTCCTTGGGGATGGTTTTGTTTTGCCAGTATCAAAAGCGAGCCTGGGTGATGGATTTCTGCCTTATTATTTATGATTCTTTGCTTCCCACTGGCGCCAGTACGGTTCACTGGTATTTCCAGAGGTTTTTTTCCTGCGGTGAGTCAGGGCTTGAGGATGACGCAGCTACAGCTGTTTTCTTGTATTTTGCAGAATAATAAGGTTGACTTGAGATACTCCTACTGTAAAGAGAATTAGTATTCAAAACTCAGTGTTAGGTAGAAATTTTTCTGGGAAATGACTCCTCTGGTATTTGTGGCCGGTCTCTACACGCTGCATATCAGAAGCATGGCTGCTGAAGTTACTCTTACCATCATGGCCACACAACATCGTTAATAATTGTAGCTTTTTTTCTTTTTTGGTTTTACATGGATTAAAATCACACCTGAGCAGGTCAGAAATTCCCATGTCTCTTTGGCTTTTTGTTAGTAATTAGCCAAATGGTTTCCATCAGCTGTCAAGCCAAAATATCTTCCATCTGTTTCCAGGCACTGAGCTTCCACTGACTCACTGTTGGTGGAGCTGAGCAGGGGGTTATGGGCAGGAGATGTAGGTGGACATGTCCTGTCAGTAACGTGTTAGTGTGCTGGGGGAAAAGTACTTAATCTTCCTGTGCCACGGTTCTGCCTTGTGACACATGGAGATGCTGATATCAGCCCCCGCGGAGCAGTGCCAAGGGGGCTGGGGAGGCTGATAACAGTGCTGGATTTCTGGAGGGTGATTTTTTTTTTTTGGTCATGGAGATCAAGGCACTTCACAGTAGCAGAGAACATTGCTCTCCAGCAGGGAGAGAAAGCGGAGGCATAGGACAGCGATGTGGCTTCCCTGAGGTCATTCAGGAGAGAGTTGGGATTAGAAAGCCAGTTGCAGGGTCTGCTTCTGGAGTTCCTGGTTCCCAGGAGAGAGGAAGTGTGTGCTGTGGGAGCTCTGCCAGGCTGTCTGTTGGAAAGGACCCTCTGCTTTAGGCAGGAGGTGCCTAAATTGCCTTTGGCTTGCCAGACAATATTTTTAAAGGCTGTTGGGAAGTGTGCAGGGAGTCCTTCCTCAGCTGAGGGGTGGTAACTCTTGTACCTGCTATGCTTGAGTCCCACGGAGGGGGTCTTTTTTTGATGCTGATCTCCCTTTGTCTTTCTCCTCTGCACGGACTTCTCACTCAGGATCGCATCGGCCGTCCCTCAGAGACCGGTATCATTGGCATCATCGACCCTGAGTGCCGGATGATTGGCCTGCGGCTCTATGATGGCCTCTTCAAGGTCATTCCCCTGGACCGGGAGAACAAGGAGTTAAAGGCTTTTAACATCCGCCTGGAAGAGCTCCAAGTCATCGACGTGAAGTTTCTCTATGGCTGTCAGGCTCCGACCATCTGCTTCGTCTACCAGGTACCTTGTTCTTGCTTGGTGACTCAGGTGGAGGGTGCTGGAGCACCAGCCAAGGTCTCTGGAGGCTTCCAAAGGGCTTGGAGCAGCAGCTGTGTCCTGGAGCCAACAGAAAGCGGTGCTTCAGAGAGAGCAAGAGGCAGTTCTGGCACCTGAAGCCTCATTGTGTAGCTGAGGAAAACTGGGGTTCCTCTGTGCTGCTTTTTTGTGTTTCTGGGAGAGGGGAAGCCATATTCTCCCACAGGAGAACTGGGCAGCCAGTGCTTCTGATGGTAAGCGCTCAGGAGGAGAGCGTGAGGCTTCCCAGCAAGTGCTGAGCAGCTAGATTAGACTTGAGATTTGAGACTTCCGGTTAAAACTTTTTTTTTCTTTGTTTTGTATTTGGAGGCCACTCCAGGGGTGTGAAGAGGGGCCATAACCTCTCTCATCACCTGGGTTCTCTGTCCCGGAGGCAGTCATTGTAGGCCTTTCTCTAAACCTTTATTGTGAACCAGAGCCTTTGCTGTGCTGACAGGGCGAGGGATTATCTTGAATTTGTTGAGGTCAGGACTTGCCTCGACCTAGCTGAAACTTGCTGGGATGACAACAGAGGCTCTGGTATGGTTTAGTTCAGCTTCAGCATGGTTCTTGGCTCTTACGATATGAATTTGCTGCTAGAAACCACAGGGAAGCAGCGACTTTGGTTATTCACTGTTTCAAAAGTCACTGTTATTTTTTCCAAGAGGGGTGGGTGCTGTCGAACTCACCTGACACTGAATAAAGACACGGGGGGTGGGGGGGCAAATCACTTTGTCACCACGTAACTACAGGTTGGAAGGGCAGCCCAGATTCCCCTGTGTCAGGACAGTGCTTTTCCTCCACCCTGTGGGGGGCTGGTGCGCTCTCTCATCACTGGGAAGTGTCCCCAGCCCTCATGTATCCCACCTACCTCGCAAACACTTGTGTGATGATTTAATACTGTGCCCCCAAAAAGGACTAAAACAGGGAGGGGCTTGATGACCTGAAAAGGCAAAGGATCTTCAGCTAATGCATTGAAGTGAACGCTGTTTTCTTACAAAAAGCACTGCCATTCTGGTCTTATTTCAGGTAGGAGGGAGTTGTGATCCCTTGCAGGGCAGACTGGAGCCTGACCGTGTTGTGCATGCTTTCACAACACGTGGCTGTCTTGTTTCTGTGTGACTGGGGAGTGGATGTGGGGACCATATTTTTTTTCTCCCATGCAGCCGTGCTGGCTCTGAAACGTGGCGTCCAAACAGGCGCTCTCAGCTTTGCTCTAGAAATAAGCAATAAGGGCGACTGGTTTATTGTGTATTTCTGGTTTTGACTAGCTGTCTGGGTGACTTCCTCAAAGCTCAGAAGCCTCGTGGTGGCAATGTGCTGCTCTGAAAAGTGCTGATCTTACCCATGAGTTGGATTAGTACCATTGCTGTCGCATGCTGGGAAACTGAGGCAGAGGGGGATGGTATTTGGATAAAATCTTAAACTCGGTCTCAGGGTGTGAACAGGAGTGCACCAGTTTCCACTGGGTACTCAAGAGTATTGTAAAGGAGGAGCTTGTTCA